TTTTCAAAAACGTTACAGAATTAAATTTTTCAACTGTAGATTAAGTTTTGCAGCATCTCAGATAAATCAATTTATCAGGAAAAGTAAAAAAGTGTTCCGATTCCTATGTCTCAAGGCAAAAATTCATGCTCACAACACTCTTTTTGACGTTCTCCTATTCACCACCAGAGGTTGAATCGATCGTTTAGTTTCTATTAAAAAGGCCTATTGTGTTGCTCCTCTCATCATGACCAACCCTCCAATTTATCAGGAAATGTGAAAAAGTGTTCCGCATCCTATGTCTCACGGCAAAAATTTCTACTCACAACACTCTTTTTGATGTTCTCCGATCCACCACCAGGGGTTTTATCGATCGCTTAGTTTCTATACGCCTTTTTAATAGAAACTTAGCGATCGATTTAACCTCTGGTGATGAATAGGAGAACGTCGAAAGAAGTGTTGTGAGCAGAATTTGTTGCCGTGAGACATAGGGAGTGGAACACTTTGTAACTTACTCTCATAAATAGATTCATCCGAGATGCTCCAAAACTTGATCTACTAGTCGAAAAATTTAATTCTGTATCGTTTTTACAAGGATCCTGCTGGTATTGAGCAATATTTTTGTTGAGAAAAATAGAAAATTAGAAAAGTGTCTTAGTATTAATGATCTTCCGGATTTCTAGTGTGTAAATAGTTGAAGTGCAAATCAGTTCAGATCGATGTAAAATCGTTATTAATTATATAAGGGATAGAAGTGCACTTATTGCTTGCTTCATAAGGAATAAGTGCATCGAAGACACCAAGCCTGTTAGACGGAAACTCGCACTTTTATCACACTTTTTACATCGTTTGGCTAGAGATCACAGCTCTCCACCAAGTAAAAAAATCTTCATTGAAGGATCAAAACAATCATTCGTTTTTTGAAGGTTATTTTTTCCTCTGTACTTTTCAGTGGGGTAGAAAGTGAGGACGCGATGAGCGAGATTTGGTTGCTCCTATTCAATGAGTGTAGCAGTACACTTAAAAAAATCCACACCTTACCTTCATGTGTTCCACACTTCCATTTGCGCAAATTGTGGAACACACTAGGGGAAGTACAACTTGATCTGAAGTAATATTTGGTGTAAAAATTGCTGAAATTGGTAGTTATTATAATTTTTAGTATAAATATTAATGATATTAACTGTCAAGCGGTCAGCTTCAAAGTAAAAAAAAAATAACAGTGTAACTTTAACTCAATGACGTTTCACCGTTGTTGTTTATGTTTACTACAGCTTTCATTTTTGCCGACATTTTCGTTTTCGATAGCTCTGATCGATTTCGACTTCGACTTTTCATGATAAAAACGGTACTGGACGTTCCCCCAGCAGCAAATTTTGCCAGTTGCAGGCTCATGGCAAATCGAGTGTAATACGACCACGGAACCATCACTCTGGGACTCCATTTACAGGGGAGGCGTAGTCAGTCGATTCCCGTTCCATCTGAGGACAGCACATTGGTTCGCAGACGATGAGGAATTCGTGGAAATTAATGACTATTTTCTGGGACAGAAGTGCGACCGATTATGTGCTCTGAGATCAGCTAACAAATAATGCCGAATTTTTAAGAACAAGGAGTGGATTTTGGTGGCGGTGGCCAGCAAGATCATCAAAGAATGACTTGCCTCTGGTGTGAAATCCATTTTTTATTAAACGAATGTCAAATGTACACTTCAAACCAAAAATAGTCAAAAAAAAATACAACTGTCAGACTAAGTATAAGATTCGCAAATATCACACATATTAAAATATTTAATATTTCCACCATTGATATTGATGCTGATACTTGGACCTGTCGTTCCCCTAGGGAACACATGCATTTCATGTGTGAATCATATAATAGATATTATTCTCGAACACTATAAGTTCAATTGTGATACACTTGGATTTCATGTGTCTAACATTTTGTTATCGAAAGTTTGACACTTAATCATCAAATTTCCCTCATTCACAAGTATATTATCGAAAATATCTGGTTCGTGTATCTCACATTTGATAATGAATCAAAACTGATCCCAGCAATATTTAATTTCATTTAGTGATAATGGTTTATATTATTAATTCACAATAGATAAAAAAAAAAACTGCAGCTGTCTCCAATTGCGTCACTACACCAGGATCCAGGAACCCAAGAATACTGTAAAATACAGTTATGGAGATGTACAGTTTCTCAGTTTTTGATGTTATTTTCAGTCAATAGGATTTACTTACCATTTCTAATCAGTTTTCTGTTTTAAAGATGATGTCTAATGAAACCTAAAATATTTTTTTCTGTCAGATAGAACTGACCAACTACTACTGTCTCGCTGCTGGGAAAAGTAATTATTGTCAGTAAATTAAAGCGTAACTTAATATTGTGGGGTACCTGGAATCTTTCGTAATTGTACTGTAGCAGCAACATACATTGGCATTGATTGTTACTCTGTTTAATATTTCTTTTGACACTCGTCCTGCTTCTGATGAGATCCATGTGCCATACACGTTAAATACGATAGTAGAAAACATTAGAGCAGATCATATACGGAGGTCCCATAAATTTCAATAAGTAAACACATGAAATTATGGTGTAGTTTGTTTTGATTTCACCGGCAGCTAAGACATGTGATTTTTGGACATTGATGCCATGAAATGCGAATGTAATTCACATAATATCATGGTGACTGGCAAATGGCAAATGGCAAAATTCATATTTGAAAACACATGAATGGAACGTGTGGATTTTTTTTAGTGTAGATTAGACACCTGAATCAGTTTAAGGTTCAGGACCTCAGTTGTAGAATTACAACCGTAGATTGTTTACAGTTAGCGTCCTTGACCTGTCATCGTTCACCACTGTACTATCCTTAACTATTTTTACGTGGATACATCTCCACATTCGTCACTCGCACGATAGCGACAGATCCACTGACTCGTCCTTCTCTCTTCGTCAGACACAATCTACCATTAGTCGTCCATGGCCCGATTCTCACCGCTGGCGTGGTTCATAATAACCGTTTGAAATTATATAAACTGAACATTTAATTTTACTCTACCTTTCCACAACCAATCAAAATCAAATTTGCCGTTCAGTAACATCACATTCATCGAGCAACTAGAAATCATCAACCAAACAAATGAAAATCATTTTAAAATCCATGGATACAGCAACCAATCATTGAGATTGTTGATTTGTCAGCTTGGGCTCTCAGTCTAGACCTGCGTTTATGTTGCATACTGTCCCTTGTTGCACGTAGGGATAGGGATGTCAGCTCCCTGGTGAAAATACGCTTACCTGTCCAGATTGGTGTGAAATGCGAAATAGATCAATAACCCTTTTCACACCCAAATGTACGAGGCGTTCTAATAGACTCTATATAATAGTTTTTAAACTAAAGTATCGTACTAAACATATGATTGATTTGTTAATGTAAAATTGATGGATAACTTGTACTTGTACACTCGATAGGACGAAGATGGGCGCTTATGCCGAATTAGTTCTCTACCATTGCCCTTGTTCATGAATTGCTAATTAACAGTACAAAGATAATGCTAATGTGATACAACGAACAATGACGAACAAGTTATGTTAAAAAATAAATCTATCAAAGCCAAAAAAATTAAATGTTTTTATAAAATATCTCAGAATGTCAAGAAATTTCCGAATTCAAGCTGAACATTGAATTGCTTTTTCTTTCATTGATAACTTGAACACACACCGTTTCTTGTTGTGTTTGACGTATTAGATGCTAGATAAAAGCTTTTTTTTTAACGATCTGTGTGCTGCAAATACCTGGGAATGTCTTTACATGGCCGTGGGGATGCAAAGAGAAAGTCGACGAAGAGAATCTGTCAATGGTACTTACGACCTAAGTCAATGTTCAGCTTGAATTATGAAAAATCAAGGAGTATTGAAATAGCTTCCAAATTCCGGAACGTAAAATTCAATCAAGCAGGAATCTCAAACTTTCGCCGATCCAAGGTTTTTTTAAATATCCTGTAATCTAGTATTAATAGAAAGTTAATGAATTATTTTCAAACATTGGCCGGGGATCGCTATACTTGTTTTTTTTCAAAACTGTAAACTCCAAATTCAGCATTTATATGGTAGAGAACACTACGGTCGCTTCTGGTTGTTAAATTCTACCGATTCATGGAGACGCACGATCATTCAGTTCAACAGAAGGGTGTAGAGTAACATCTGTAAGGCAACGTATAGAATCTTGTCACTAAGTATTTGCAGAAGTAAACATTCTGTCAAGCTGCCAGATGCCAAAATCCACAACGCTCGAGCGCCAAAATATCACTATTAATCTTTCCTCGTAAAATTCCATTCCATTTCGAATGTGGCATAGACGCAGAAATCTTGACACCAGTCCAACCAGCGCGATCCATGAATGACAGTGATCCAAATAGAACCGCAATGAAAAACGACTAATTACTAACAATATCAATAAACACGGTTGTATTTTGTATTTTCAATGGTTGAAAATCAGACGTCACAGTCGGTCTGCCCGTCTCAACGTTTTTTTTTTTCGATTCCCCTGTACTTGGGGTGGAAGATCATCACCCAAATGAAACATCACAGTCAGTTGTTTAATTGGTTCGGAAATTTATGGACTGTTTTGAGTTTTTGAATATTATTGCATGCATGCGAGATATTAATAGAGTTTCAAAAATAGACGCCTGACTGCGGTTCAACGATTCTGACATGTGATTTATTGGGAGAAAATGGTTGAATTTGTATTTTTATACACCAAGTCGTACCACGTGCTAGATGCTAGATGCGGTTTGCGGTGGGCGCGAATGGATGAACTTGGAATTTCCAGGGTCACCGTTGTGGGTTGCCAGAAATAGTATATAATCCGGATCCTGCGGGAACTTTTCCGCCCAGCAAGACATTGTTGAGATTCATTTCGAAACTCCTAATGATGTTGCTAATTAGCAAAAAGCGAAACACAAGTTAACCACTACAATGACCGTCCTTTTTCTTTGCTGTCCTTCCAGTACGATTCCAACGAAGTGCACTCCTCGGACGAGTACGAAGAGGGAAACTTTGACGAAAGTGAAAGCGACACCGAGGAAGGCAGCACCAGCGTTTTCGGCATTCCGGACGGTTTCCCAATAGACGACATGGAAACGGAAATCAGTGTCCAAAGCACCTCCAATACGATCGACGGCAAACGAAAAGCCCGTTCCATCAACGGATTGACCTACCAGGGGGTACCGATTCTCGAAGAGTCCTACATGAACCGGCACCATCAGCAGAATCGAACCCGGCATCAGCTCCATCATTTCCACCAGGGTGAACCTCACTACCAGCAGATGCGACAGCGACCGGAGGAAACGGCCACCCCACCGCCTCAGCTGAAGCTCAAGTGGGATGATGAATCCAACAGGTGACGAAATGTTTGCTTTGATCATGATTTATTATTATTATTACTCAACCTTTGCTTGCTGATAAATTCACTTACCGGTGAAATGTACCTTTCTCGTGTGCAAGGTGATTTATTCTATGTAAGTCGTTGGGAAAATCGTTACTCATGAGGCATAAATAAATGTAAAAAATCACAGTATCATTTTCATGTGAAATAAAAAATAATGCAATAGGTGCTAGTTTATCAATAGAGCACTTGAACTAAAAACATCGAGGCAAAAATTAAGCAAATTCCATTCCAGCTCGAAGAGCGTTCTAATCAATATGTACATTCTGCTCGTCTCACGCCTCTCTCTTTGTTTCTCCTCAATTACACACAGGGAAATTCCATCACATCACCAGTTGAACACCGGCACTGCTGCTTCTGTCGCTGCTGGCAGGCATCATCGTATTACCATCGAAGCCAGGAGGCACCACAATGTTCACCGGCCGGCTTTTACCACCCAAAGCACCATCCCACTTCCGTCGTCCTCCTCCTCCTCCTACACGACCCACCGGAATGACTTTAGTAAAAGCGAAAAATTCCCCGGAAACTCAAAATCGAACCTGGTAAGTGAATTTCTGTTTGGCTCTGTTTTGTGATTATCCGTTCGAGCGAGCAATTTGAGTTGGACGGAAATATGCATTTTGATAAGGTTTCTCTCATTGCGGCAGATTGGACCGGATTATACCACCAAACCACCGGGGCCGACCCATGACCGGCGCAGTCGCGTGATGATGACCAATAACGGGGAGAATAATAAATTCCAGAAGGTCATCAAAAATCCGGGCACTTATATGGTGAGTTAATGGCGTGCTACATTCCCGAATAGAAGGCATTCAATTAAATTTTTAGATTAGTTTGCTGATTGAATTTGAGGGAGCTCGAAAGTTCCACGTTTCAAGTGGACAATCGTAAATAAGTTTCTTAAAAAAAAAAAAAACTCGTCAACTTTTCAAAGCAATGCTGCCTTGATATTTTTTCATTAAGTTAAAATCAGTTGCAATGAAGCTTGCATGTTTTGTTATATCAGCGAAAAATATGGCATTTCGAAAAAGCAGAACTTTAACTTGAACTATAGACGATTGATTTCCAGGATTTTCGTTTTTTTTTTTTTTTTTTAACTCTTTATTTGTTCCAAATTCAAAATAAATTACATTTCATTTTTAACCTAGGTGCTCCAGTTACTACAGTAACTTACCAGCCTTAATTGTTATGATATATATCTAAGTGTTTTTACATTGTTCCTGTCTTGGCAATTCAGTATTTTAAACAGGTTTTTTAAACCTGCATGTCAGTATAACAATTGATATCTTAAAACTAAAAACTAAAACTAAATCTTATCTAAGTATAAAGGGAATTAATCGTTGCAATTGAGGATTCTAACGATTTTTGCCGGAAATTATTAATTATTTTGTTGGACATTTGTGCTAAAATCTCAACATTCGAAATTCTATGTACTTCGGTAGTACTGTACCAGGGAGGCAACTTCAAAATCATCTTCAGAACTTTGTTCTGTATCCTTTGAAGTGCTTTTTTCCTGGTAGTGCAACAACAAGACCAATTGGCACAGCGTAAAGCATGGCCGGTCTAAAAACTTGTTTAAATATTAGAAGTTTATTCGTCAGGCAAAGTTTGGATTTCCTGTTTATAAGAGGATACAAACATTTTATATATTTGTTACATTTGGCTTGAATGCCCTCAATGTGATCTTTAAAAGTTAATTTATGGTCAAGTATTAATCCAAGATATTTCACTTGGTTTGACCAGGAAATTGGAACTCCGTTCATAGTGACTATGTGACTACTACTAGGTTTCAAAAAGGAAGCCCTGGGCTTATGTGGAAATATTATAAGTTGAGTTTTGGAAGCGTTGGGAGAAATCTTCCATTTTTGTAAATAAGAAGAGAAAATATCTAAACTTTTCTGAAGTCTGCTGCAAATAACACGAAGACTTCTTCCTTTAGCGGAAATGCCTGTGTCATCAGCGAACAAAGATTTGTGGCAACCCTGAGGCAAATCAGGGAGGTCCGAAGTGAAAATGTTATACAATATAGGCCCAAGAATGCTACCTTGAGGAACTCCTGCTCTAACAGGTAGTCGATTAGATTTGGAATTTTGATAATTTACCTGCAGAGTTCTGTCAGTTAAATAATTTTGAACTAATTTCATAATGTAAAGTGGAAAATTAAACTTTTTCAATTTAGCAATCAAACCTTCATGCCAAACACTGTCGAATGCTTTTTCTATGTCTAGAAGAGCAACTCCAGTCGAGTGGCCTTCAGATTTGTTTGAACGAATTAAATTGTTAACTCTTAAGAGTTGATGAGTAGTTGAATGCCCATGGCGAAATCCAAACTGCTCATCTGCAAAAATTGAGTTCGTATTGATGTGAAGCATCATTCTATTCAAAATTATTTTTTCAAAAAGTTTACTTATTGAAGAAAGCAAACTTATTGGACGGTAGCTAGAAGCTTCAGCTGGATTTTTATCCGGCTTCAAAATTGGAACAACTTTTGCATTTTTCCATTTATCAGGAAAGTATGCCAAATGGAAACATCTGTTAAATAATTTTACCAAGAAAGACAAGGTACTCTCTGGGAGTTTTTTGATGAGGATATAGAAAATTCCATCATCACCTGGAGCTTTCATATTTTGAAATTTTTTAGTTATAGACCTTACTTCGTCCAAATCAGTCCCCCAGGAATCATCAAAAATATTTTCCCGAGAGAAAATATTCAGAAAATCCCGAGCAACCTGATTCTCAATAGAACTAGTAAGACCCAAACTGAAATTATGGGAACTCTCGAATTGCTTAGCAAGTTTCTGAGCTTTTTCCAAATTTGTGATCAAAATTTTACCACCTTCTTTAAGCGCTGGAATTGGCTTTTGAGGTTTTTTCAAAATTTTTGTGAGTTTCCAAAAGGGTTTGGAACTCGGGTCTAATTTAGAAACATTATTTTCAAAAGTTTTGTTCCTCAGGGCAGAGAATCGCTTTTTAATTTGTTTTTGCAAATCCCGCCAGATAACTTTCATGGCAGGATCGCGTGTTCTTTGAAATTGTCTCCTACGGACATTTTTAAGACGGATCAAGAGCTGAAGATCATCGTCTATTATAATTGAATCGAATTTAACCTCGCATTTTGGTACTGAGGCAGCTCTTGCTTCAACTATAGAAGTAGTCAGAGATTCAAGAGCATAATTAATTTCATCTTTGGTTTGCAAAGGAATGTTTGGATCGAAGTTATATTCCATAAATGTTCGATATTGCTCCCAATCAACCCTATGGTAATTGAAAGTAAAGCTGTTGGGATTAGAAATTATTTCTTGGGATATTTCAAAAGTAACTTGAAGGTGATCAGAACCGAAGTCAGCATGGGTAACCAATTGGCTACAAAGATGACATGAATCAGTTAAGGCCAAATCAATAGTTGAGGGATTTCTTGCAGAAGAAAAGCATGTTGGGCTGTTTGGATATTGAATAGTGTAATAACCTGCAGAACAATCATCAAACAGAATATTACCATTGGAATTGCTTTGAGCATTATTCCATGAGCGGTGTTTTGCATTAAAATCACCAATAATGAAGAATTTAGACCTATGACGGGTAAGTTTCTGAAGGTCACCCTTGAGAAAATTCTTTTGCTGGCCTACGCATTGGAATGGCAAATAGGCAGCTATAAACGTAAGTTGTCCAAATTTTGTTTCAACAGAAACTCCCAAAGTTTCAAAAACTTTGGTTTCAAATGAAGAAAGTATTTTGTGTTTGATTCGTCTATGAATAATGATGGCAACGCCACCACAGGGTCCATCAAGACGATCATTTCTATAAATCAAGTAATTTGCGTCCTTCTTAACCTTATGGTCAGGTTTAAGGAACGTTTCAGTTATAACGGCAATATGCACGTTATGAACTCTCAAAAAATTTAAATAGCTCGTCTTCATTATCTTTAAGAGATCGAGCATTCCAATTTAAAATGTTTAATGCTTTAAAATCCATTACTGAATTTTAAAGTCATGACAATATTATTAGCAAATTTTACTCCAGTTTGAATAGCATCAAACATGGAGTTAGATTTAAGCATATCAGAAATCATGTCAATTAATGAATTCTGTAAAAATTTCATTTTTGGAGCAGTAATGCTTCCTAAGTCAAAATTGTCAAAATTTCCGTTAGAACGTTGGTTAGTATTTTGATTTCTACCCGCTGCAATAGCAGCATAGGTAGCTCCATTAACTCGCTGAACATTGTTAGCAGCGAGGGGAGTAGGTACAGATGAAACATTTGAAGCAGGGGTGATATTTGTACCTACGGGTACGAATGTAGAATTTGTTCCTCGCTGACCGTTGTTAACAGCAGAGGAATTTGTACCTGGTCGGAAACGTGGAGCGTTTCCTACCTGTCGGTTAGAACGAGATTGTAGGATCGCTTTGCGAGTCTTACATTCCCAAAAATTGGATTTGTGGTTTTCACCACAATTTGAACATTTAAATTTCTTAGGATCTTCCTTCACAGGACAGTCGTCCTTTGCGTGAGAGGAATCACCACAATTCATGCATTTAGCTGGCATGTAGCAATTTTTAGTTCCGTGGCCCCAACCCTGGCACTTACGGCACTGAGTGAGGTTTTGGAAATTTCCTCCAGTCTTCCTGAAGTGTTCCCACTTCACTCGGACATGGAGCATAAGGCTAGCTTTTTCTAAGGCCTTAAGGTTGTTTAGCTCACTAGACTTGAAGTGAACTAAATAAAAATCATTAGAAATCCCGTTGCGCGAATCGCCAGGACGGGATTTCATTTTCATTTTGATTACTTGGAGTGGCACAACTCCAAGTAATTTTGCCAGTTCATCTTTGATCTGATCCAGGGATTCACCACTGGGCAGTCCTTTCATGACAACCTTGAACACACGTTCAGTTTTGGTGTCGTAAGTAAAAAATTTGTGCTTCTTCTCAGTAAGATACTTGAGAAGACATTTAAATCCGTCCAAGGTTTCAGCCAATACACGGCATTCACCCCGACGTCCAATTTGTAGTGAAAACTTAACTTTCACGAAATTCAAAAGTTCCATGCGAAGAGCATGGAAATCGGTAGTGGTTATCACAATAGGGGGAATCTTTTCCTTCTTGGCATTAAGCCGGGAAAGTTTACTAGAATTTTTCTTGGATGATGGATCATTCTCATCATCCGTGAGCAAATCAAATTGATTACTCAAATTAATTTCATCAGAAGGGGGGTCAAGAGTTTGCCCCTTTCTTTTGCGTTTAGGTGCCATGGCGGCAGTAAATTTTTATCCAAATCGACTTCCAAGCAGATTACTATAAGAATCTGAAGGATCGAAGAGGAATTTTCCAAATCGATATCCAAGAAGGATTACCTCGGGTAGGGTCCAAACAAGGATCGAAGAGGAATAAGAGGAGTTGAACAAGGTAGAAAATTTTTACAGGTTGAGCACTGAAAAGTGCGATTATGCGATTATCCAAATCGACTTCCAAGCAGATTACTATAAGAATCTGAAGGATCGAAGAGGAATTTTCCAAATCGATATCCAAGAAGGATTACCTCGGGTAGGGTCCAAACAAGGATCGAAGAGGAATAAGAGGAGTTGAACAAGGTAGAAAATTTTTACAGGTTGAGCACTGAAAAGTGCTGTTTAAATTTGTTGTAGCTTTAGGTAGTAGTAACGCTTCCTTAAGCAAAAAGCAAATAGATCCGCACGGCAAGAGAGCACGATGCGGACTCCCAGGATTTTCGTTTGATTGTTTTGTTCGATGACTGACATGATGTTGTTTTCACATTTTTC